TCCCGACTAACTCGAGAATGAAGTTGAGAGGAAAAATATAAACATGGAGCCGATGGAAAAACTATTTGCGAACAATAAGAACAGGGTGCGCCGCCGTTGGAGCATTAACCCAGGGGATTTAATGGACCGAGAGTTTGTGGTTCTCATGTGAAATACCCTCGCCCTAGCAACCTCAGCCCCATGTACATTTAAAACTTGAGACATTTGGTTTTGACGAGCCGTGTCGAGGTGAATAATTCTCGGCATATCAGTATCAAATCTAGAGCGTGACTACAACCTTCGCTGGGGTACGTTTGTCCTACTCATCGATCATAATATCTCGATTTCCTCAATTTGACTGTCAAGATGACGCAATATTCTGGGTCCCTGTGAATGATGTGATCGTGATTGTCGTGAAATTATAATGGTAGCTCGCGTGGGATGATGAGGGAAAATTAATGAAGTTGTGGGTCATTTTTAATTGGCGGCAGGAGAAATCATTCTGAATAATTGAAGGGGAGGATAGGAGAACTTGACTTGCGGATGAGTTTTTTGATAAAAAGAATGCTGAACATTTTTACAGAAAAATGAACATTAATGCAACATTACATTAAACATTACATTTTTTAATGAACATTTTTTACGGAAATTTTCAACATTCCTTGAAGATTTTTATCACATTATTGTTTTCCTGAAATTTTATGAAATTTCGTTATTTTATATTCAGTATTTTGTAACTTAAATTTTTAATTATGTGAAGAATTCTCGTCTTCCGGTTGCTCAAAACTTGGGAATGTCGTTAATATTTTTAGTGAAACCTGAAATTTCACAATTTTCTTTTTCATTTGGAAGGTATTTTTGTAAACTTCAAAACGATATCTGATTCATCCAAACTAAAAAAAAATAATTTTATGAGATGCAGAAATATTTCTGGAAAAACTGATCTCTTCGACAATTAAATTCACTCTTTCTGTTTCAACTCAACTTTATGGTGATTTTTTCACTGAATTTCTTTGAATTTATAAAACATAAGGAAGTTATCATCAAGACAATTTATCACTCCTCAGAGATAATTCCCGAAAATCAAGATCTTCTAAAATTTCCCTTGTTCAAACCGACATTCATGTCAACAATTTGTGCCGCCTATTTATGCATTGACCAATATCCCCACTTTATCTTTAGACAACAATAACAACCCTGTTATGCGTTCCTATCCTCGTAAATGGGGTCGTCAGCAATAATCGCAGCGGTTAAAAATGATTTTAGGGAAACTGCTCATAATCGCCAAGCATTCAGTGTCGCTCTCAAAACACTAACATCCTGGTTGGCCAATTGTGAATAAACGCAAAAGCCAGTGAAACAAGTCGTATGGAACGAAGAATAGATCTCCGGTGGAAAAGCAGTCGAAGATGCCCAGTACAGCCTCCGGGTCTGCGTTATTATAACTAGAGTGAGATGAGATGATGTGAGCAAAGTCGACTGGGCTTGATGGTGAGTGCGTACACCAGTAGGCAACTTCTCTTGGGTTTCTATTCTCGTACGTCGACTAAAATAAACGCCTTGGCTTGTACACATTTTCTCATGCAGCCCAGAGGTCTCTTTCTCATCCCCCTTTTATCGTCAAACCATACAACACATGTGTGAGAGCACCAGACTCTATGCACACCCGACGGAAACATCACCTTGGCTATCCTCAAAACCCCGATACACTTGAAACTAAATATTTTAGCATTTTTTTTTTTCATCCAGTTTGGAGTGAAGTGGCAGAACGAAACTCACTGTTGGAAATTTTTTGATATTTCATGGAAGATATTATAGTAAATCTCATGAGAGTGACATTGAATTGGATTTAGGGGAAAAATTATTATGAAATTTCAAGTTTTAAGTAGAATTTACGGAAATTCATGAGTTGTCAGGGAGAGTGAGATGGAAATTTCAATTCTAATTGAATTTTCAGTAAATAACATGAATTTTCTGTCTTTCCCTCAATTTTCCTGATTTTCTGAAATTTTACAGAATAATTAAGCTGAAAAATTAAGTTTTTTATTGATTTTCAGATAATTTGAACAGAAAATCAACGGAATATTTGATTTTTCAATGACAAGATTTCCTGAAATTTCAGTGGAACTTGAAGACGATAAAAATTTCCGGAATTTGGCAAATTCGTGAGTTTTCAGTGGGAGTGAGATGGAAATTTCATTTCTGATTGAATTTTCAGTGCATGACATGAATTTTCTATTTTTCCCTCAATTTTCCTCATTTTCTGAACGTTCACAGAATAATTGCGCTGAAAAATCAAATATGTTATTGATTTCCAGATAATTTGAACAGAAAATCAACGGAATATTTGATTTTTCAATGACAAGATTTCCTGAAATTTCAGTGGAACTTGAACACGATAAAAATTTCCGGTATTTGGCAAAGAAAATTCATACGAAAATTTTTAACAGCGCTGAACGACTTTTTGCACGGTTTATTCAGGGAAAAATGTTGAAGGAAAATTTTTCAGTCGTAAAAGGGGCTCAAGTAATTGAAATAATTAAAGTATGATTAAAGAATTACGTGCAAAAATGACTCAATTATTATTTAACATCTTTGATGACTCTGTAATCAGGGGTTTATAGCAGTGATGAGTGGTTTTACGAGCAAATGTTAAAAGGCTTGAAGATATTTTGCTCTAGAATCACTCCTCGACATGATTGAAGAATTAATAAATGCGGAAATGACTCAATGAATATTTAATATCTTTTATCGACTGCTGATCATGGGATTACGGCGTTAATGAGTGGGTTTCAGAGAAAATGTCGAGAAATATTTTTTGTTCAAAATTTGATGAACAAAAAAGATTATATGATGTTGTCTTCTGAAATCATCAATTTCCCCATCATTTTGAGGTGATTAAATTCTTTATTCCACGCATGTGGTCATTCTATCAATGTTTAACCATTCGGTGAATGTTCAGGAAATTGAGATTGGTGGATATTACCACAAACACCTGATGATTCACACATGTTCCGTTGAAATAACGCTGAATCTAGCCGAACAACTCGGCGAGGAAAGCTCAGGGACGTTTCAAGAATTTTAGGGGCCTCGTTCAATGAGAATACCCTCGATTTTATTATTGACAAACATCCTTCGACAGGCCTCATAAAAAATATTCACCCCCTGGATTTAAGCAAAGGGGTGTTGAGGGTAAAAATCTTAAATTTTAGATTTTTCTAGTAAAAAAATATTTGCACTCCAGGGGTTGGAACGTACGCGAAGTACTTGACTTGTGGAGGATTTTTTTGATAAAAAGAATAATGTTGAACATTTTTACTGAAATTGTCAACATTCCTTGGAAATTTTTATCATATTATTGTTCCCCTGAAATTTTATGAAATTTCATCATTTTATACTCAGAATTTTGTAACTGGATTTTGAATTAAGTGACGAATTCTCGTCTTCCGGTCGCTTAAAACTTGGGAATGTCATTAATATTTTTAGTGAAATCTGAAATTTCACAATTTTTTTTTACATTTGGAAGGTATTTTTGTAAATTTCACAACAAGATCTGATTCGTCCCAATCGTATCATTAGGTCAGAAGATTTCGAACATTTAAGAAGACCAAAAAAAATAAATTTATAAGATACAGAAATATTTCTGGACAAACTGATCTCTTCAACAATTAAATTCACTTATTCTGCTTCAACTCAACTTCGGGGCGATTTTTTCACTGAAATTAATCGAATTTTCAGCTTTTTCTAGTAAAAAAAATATTTACACTGCAGGTGAAAAAAGTTTCCAGATATCTCCCCAAACCCTCTAGCAAATTTCGCCTCTTTAAATTTAAAGAATATGGAAAAAGTGCAGATGATTCCAAGAAAGATTTCCTAACAACTTCCAATTCCAGTGGAAACCCCACGAAACCCTGTGTTGATTATCATTCAAGATGAGTAAACAACTGTTATTTACTCGTCGTAAAAACATCTCTAGAGTCCTCCTCAAGAATAACCAGCAAAAAAATTAAATTTCAAAGTGCGTAGAAACCGAATTAATTCAAAAATATAGCCCCTACACTGAAAAAGGCCCACGGTTTCGCCTCAATGATCGTCGAGGCGTATCGAGTTGGGATTATTATCGGGCGCGATTACTGACGCCAGTGGGCGGACGACAAGTCCCCAACATCACCTACGCTTCTTACTCAATTACCACGTCTTTATCTCGAGTATCAATGTGTTTTTTATTATTGGCTTGCTGCAACCAAGTGACACTTTTTTCTCTCATATCTTCCTCTAAAAAGAATATTTAACATTCTGGACAGTCGTTTTATACTCACATCGGGGTGTTCCTTTACAGGCACGTAGACCTTTTCCGTTAGTGTGACGACATCACCTTCTGCCTCTGGTAACGTCAGGGGCTCTTTTTTGACACCACTTATTTGGAATAGACTGGCTCGTACTTTTGCGATTTCTGGAATGATCAAACAAAAAAATTGAAATTATTAATAAAGAGTCTCATATTTTATTCTGATCTATAAATAATTAAACGAAAAAATTCCCTGAATTTCACCCAAAAATAAAATTAAAAAGGCGACCCGTACTGCCCCAATAGATGCCAAAATGATAAAAAAAACTTTTAATTTCATGAAATTAATCTTCGAGAATTAATATCTGTTGACCTTTCAAATGGGAAAAGAATGTGGAATTGATGAAATCATTCTCAACTCTTGGAGCTTTATTTTCTTTGAATAAACATTTAATTTTTATTTCAATTTTTTTTTCAATTAATTGACAGTCACAGATCAAGGAAGGACTCATTAACCGTAACGAGCACTACATCGGATTATCCTCGAAGTCATTAAGCCCCAGTCATTGAGTTGTAAATTACCACAACAAATGCACCTGAATTGAAATAAAAAGATGGAAATACACTTTCGTGTGGATTTTATCGGTGAACAGAGCATATTCGCGTCACGCTCCAAGGTATTGCCAATGTATGAGTAAATGCGTGTCCTTGACACAGTAGTGGTTTTCACGTCATTTTTATGGGGATGTAACCGCTGGATTACGTGCACCCCCCAGTGCCCAGATAATCATCCCACGGGGTCTTAATAATCCTGATAACATCGCGAATTTTCACACGGAGAGAAATTTAATAAAAAATTGCAGGCGGCTGTATCTTCAATACAGCTGTAATTGTACGTGGATACGCCCATGGTCTGTCCCTCTTTCTCGAATTTTTTGGAAACTTTTGAATTCTCTCGAATTTTCTAAAAACTCCCTGAATTTCCTCGAAATTACTGGAAATTCCTTGAATTTTTTTCGAAATTCCAAGAAACTTGTCAAATTACCTCGAAATGTCTAGAATTTTCTAGAATTCCGATAGATGGCGCTGCACATAAGGACCGTTTCCCCAAAATGGCGTACTCTTCTGTAATTCCGGAGCGAAATGTGGTTGTAGGAAATTTTACGGAATTGTCACAGAATTTTTCACAGAGCGGGAGATTCAGATAAAAATTACGATACCATCACTTAAAGTAGCTTCACCCTTCGGCCGGGTTACGCTCTACTTTTGGATATTTTCAGTTTTAAAATTTTTCAACTAAAGTGCATGGAAAAAATTTGAAAAAATTCATACCCAGTCAGTATTACCTAAATTAAATTTCGCAAAATATTGAAATTTTTCAAACATTGCCATCTTATAAATAAATAATAAATCTTGTTTGCAAAACGGTGGATTATTTTTTATGAGGTGTCAAAAAAATTCTTGATTTTTCCATATCTAATGAAAAAAAAGACAGATTTTAATCCTTGATTGCAATGGAAATGTTGATTTTCTCGTAAGACACTGAGTTAAATCCTGATTTTTAAAGTTCTTTTTTGAAAAACCAAAACGATAATTAAATTGAGAAAAAAATTAGAATTCCGAATCTAATCGAGTTTTCTGCAATTTGCTTGCAGTTTTCATTAATCTTTGAATTTACCGTAAGGGTAGAGCTACTTTAAATTTTCCGAGTCGATTCTGCAATCGGTGAGCTCCGGTGAATTGTGAGTTCCGTAATTTTTACTGAACATTTCTCTCCGCGTGCAAGAATAATTCTCAGGTTTGGGATTTCCGATGATTTTAGTGGAACACGAGTCATTAGACGACTCGTAAAAATATCGTTAGGTCGTAATGATCGGGTTTGAAATGGCCTGCACGCGTCGGGTAATATGCTGGTCCCCTCCACCAATCAATGGCCTACGAACGATTACTGTCACCGAGCAGCAACGGAGGCATCAGGCGCCGTCTGGTTATTCTCCACTCGGTAAAACATTTACGTTTACGATTTTTCACGAATGAAACATGAACCAATGGAAATTGTCTCTGAGTGTTTGGATTCAGTCGAACACCATTTAAGCTTAATCATGATTAATGTCCCCTTATCAACTGATTAATTGCTGGGATTTTATCTCTAAACACGAAATTAACAAATGCAAAAACGATTTTCTTTGCAGAAAAATTAATTTTGAATGAAACCAATTCCTTCGTTGCGAATGAAGAGTGCATAAATAACTAAATAAATAAATCATAAATATAATAGGGGAGGTTGGGGTAAAATGGACACTTTTGACTTTTTTAAAAATGTTAATGACGGGTTGAAATGTAGATAATATTTAATAATTTTTTTTTCATTGCAAGGAACAATTCTTTCCCTTCGTGATGAGTCTAAACTGAGCTCAATTGATAAATTTGTTTCTCAATTATGAGTAATTAAAACAAAAGTCTAAAGTGTCCATTTTACCCTACTCGCCCCTATAATATAATGAATAACAAATAAATAAATTCTAAATGAGTCTCTCCGAAAATATCCATTTAAGAACCAACTCGGAAGTGAAATTGACTCATTGACGTTTCCATTTTCTCCACTAGCTTCAGAGAATTGTAATTTTGGACTTGTTACGACGTCTGCATTCACCACTCGGTACCTCGGCCCCATGAGCATAAAGTATTTCCCATACCATAATCCGAAAAAAAGTAAGAGTGGATGATTAATCAACTCGACAAAAGAATCACTGTTTCGTGGAAGTGGAAGCATATCGTCGAGGCACGCATTAGCATTTTGTCGGGACGAGGGGGAGCAAGGGAGCAAGAGGGGTACGAAAAATTTCCAACATAATACGCAGTCGCGTTGACGTCTCGTCGTCATTAAACGTCGGGGGCGTATGTTTCTTGCGATATAAACCCTCCCTCTTTTTATGTTTCACTTGTTTCTCAGGACTTGCGCACGAGAGGCCTTGCAAATCTAACGACTGGGCGTGGCTCATTCCACCTTCAGCCTCATTTCCTACCGTCTTTGTTGAAAAATCTCGGTACCTCAAAGGGTTAAATGCCCCAGTGGTGCAAACCCAATCGAATTATTCGTGAGATATTGATCAGGGTGATTTGTCGGGGAAAAAAAGTTTAAAAAAAATTTTTTTCATTCACTCGAAGGATCTGATTGCAATCGGGTTTAATCGACCTCGATGAGCATACCGGCGTCACGATCACGTTAATTTTTTTTCCCTCTGCTAATGACCCGGAAAGCTGCATCACTCATTGCAACGAAAGAAGGGAAAACAATTCGGGGATAATGACGCGGCGGATTAAGGCTAATTACGAGTGATGCCACTGAATCCCTCGGTGTGACATAATTCACGTGATGACGGTATCTTCAGCATTGCGGTGGTACGTAGGGGAGAATGCTCAATGGAAAATTCATCAATCCATCAATTCCCACTCATTAATCAATCGATTTATCATGAATTTTTGCCCGAGGAGTAATTATTGTTCGGAGCTAAATGAGGGGTGACAATGTTGATTCGTGACAAACCTGATGTCACGGCACATACAGATCCTATTCGAGATTACATTAAACAGGAAAAGGTGGGAAAAAATGTTGATAAACCGGATTATGGCTCGACCGATCACTTCTCGTCTCGATCGGCCGGTTTTTTATTCATCAAAATCACGTCGCACAACCCCATTACCGTAAACACCGTAAAGTTATTTATTCATTGGGGACTCGATCCTCTTCAATTCATTACAGAATTATTGAGAATTATTTTTTTTATGTTCACTGTTGGAGAAAAAAATTGAAATTTCAATGAAAATTTTCAATTAAATGAATGAAGAAGATGATAATTCCCCACATTGTGCTGATTTTTTTCAATTTGTTTTAATAATTAAATGGAATAATTATTCCATAAAATTTTCTATTTCCGATTGCTTGCAATTCCGATGAACCCATAATGCGAAATAATTTATTAAGCAAATTTATTGATTTTTAAAAAATCTAATTCCATGTTATGCAAATTTAAATCGAAAAAAAATTATTAAAAAAATTTTTTTAAGGTTTTGAATGAAGAAAAATGTCTTTCAATGTCAACAAAAATGTTCTGAAGTGAACAACTGCATTTTTTATCCGGTTTTTCCTGATATTGTTGACAATTTAATTCGAGATTTTTTCAACGGAATTGGGCTCCCATCGGGATCATGATTTCCTGCACATCTTTATCGCCGAATGGGTATCTTGCACACGCGGTTACACACAAAGCTGACAACAACGCGCAAAGGTTAACGTTCCCACTGTGCCCCACTTTCTCGCGTGCCTGACCTCTTCGTCCCGTTGGGCGCGCGAACAACGCGCTAGGCGACCCCCAGTTGCCGAAGGAAAATACAGTTTCACGAGAGGATAACGAGACGAGAAAAAAAATTATTCGCCAAGAATGAGCTGCACCTGTGCCATTAATGTCTCCATTACCGTCGTCATAACCGAGTGATTGAAATATTGTGGATGTGAATGTCGAGATGTCCATTCCATCTCGGGAATTTTAATCAAATATCCTGGGAGACGGTTTGATTTTTTTTTTCAGCGTCGAAAAATCGGTTCGATCGCATTATGTGGAGATGCGTGACTGGGAACGAGGAAGTGTGGGATATCCAGGGATAATCCAGGTATATAATGACTTGCGAAGTTGAAGGTGACTCCGTGACTCGAGAATTTACCAATGAAATTGGAGGCTCACGAAGAAGTTGGAATATCTGATCTCAACTAAATTGTAGATTATAAAATCTATGAAAATAACAATTTTTTTGTTAATGAGTCACGTTTCAGAAATTTTCAAGTGAAATAAATAAGAAGTAAAAAATATTCAGTGAATTATCTCTCACGAATTTGCTGATAAATAAAATTACTCAAGTATCTTAATTAAATTAAACAGAAGAATAGATCTTTTTTTTTTTATCAATGAGTCACGTTTGAGACATTTTCGAGTGAAATAAATAAAAAGGAAAGAATATTCAGTGAATTATTTCTCACGAATTCGCTGATAAATAAAATCACTCAAAGTATTTCAACAAATCTTTAGATGAAAAAGTCCAAACAAGAATGAAATGAGCGCAGAGATCGCACATAAAACAACAATTTGCATTAATGAGGTCACATTTGG